AACTCTTCCGACAAGATGTCACGGCACGGCTCAGCCACTGCAGTGGGGCTCCATGCCATCTGGCAATTATAAAAGGCCAGGAATCCACCGCCATCAAAGTGCAGGACCAGCCTGGGGAGAAGGAAGAGACATGACAGATAGTTGTCACCTTACAGACAGAGAACATGCACATGCAGTCCCTGCTGTGTGGCTCATGCCAGGCCCAGCTCCAACAATGCCATTTTGATTACCCTGGGAAGCTCAGGTCCCCAAAGAGAAGAGGGATGGCTTTGTCAGAATCAAAAACAACCCAAGGGAGCCACCAAAAGCACACGCACATTCACATGTGTTATTTATTTCTTCCCTGATTGTAGCAACATGTTTAAAGATGAAAACCAGCCAAGTGTAGCCAAGTCTCAAGTTCAGGGGACGTGGCGGTCCCTGGTGCTGGAGAAGGACTGCGCAGAGGACAAGGCAGCCCAGCCGTAGGCTAGGTTCACCTGTGGGACGCATGAGGATGCCTACTCCTAAGCCAGAGGCCGAGAATAGCAGAGAGCTCGTCAACTGTGATGGAGGAACACCGCATTACTTGGCAAGGGCGGCTACTCCGACGGGAGCCACCTCCATGTCTGGCGAAGCAGGGACCCCTCAGCTGCCAGAGCTGCGGCTCCCAAGAGACTGCAGCACACTCAGAGACTAGGGTGGATACAAAAGGAAAGAGGCGGCAGGTGGAAACAGGAAAAAGACTCGTGTTAGAGGCAGGAGAGTGAGCAAGAGTGTGATGTCATTAAGAAACTCTCTGTGCCCCGGCTTGTCCCCTTCTAGGGATCTTTCCCAGAGTTAACGACATCCCATTACTGGGATCCACGTATCCCGGGTTTATGGCAGCACGATTCATGGTAGCTGAATTACAGCAGCACATTCATGGCTCCACAGAAGCAGCCTGAGTGTGCAGAAACAGGTGAGTGGATAAAGACAATGTCTCTTTACACACAACAGGGCAGACCTCTGTGAGAGGATAAACCTGAGTCATCTGCGGGGCACTGGAGACCACACTGCTAAGTGAGATTAATCAGACCCAAAGGCTGCAGGAGCACACCGCTTCTCGCAGATGAAAAAGCCCAAGTTCTACAGAAAGAGCAAACTCGAAGGTAGAGGACAGAAGGAATGGAGAGCTTTCTCAGGAGAAAGGGGACCAAGATGTGAGGAGGGAAGAAAGGGCACAAAAGGCATACGGCCCTACCTGGGTGCCGGGTCCCGCCAGTCTCCTCTCTTGTTGGCTTTCTTTGCTCTGGAGAACTCGTTCACCCAGATGCTACCAAACAAACCGAAGCTGACCTGCAGCCACCGCTGGGCCCCGGCTGCAGGGCTGTTGCCCGTTAGGCCATCAGGGCCACCAGGGCCCCTGGAGAGCAGCTCTGCCGGC